TGCTGAAAATAAACCTCTGTGCTGTCGCTCAACAAGAAGGACCCTGATCAGGGTTCGTTATGTGACTGGAAATAGGAAAATACTAATGTGAGTGAAATGTTGAGACCACTTTCAAGTACCATCAACAGCGAATAGGATTCCACCCTCTCTGGTCTGCCAGAAAAAGAAAAGCCTTTGTAGTTGTTATTTCTCTCATCATAAAGGCAGGATAAATGCCTGATCTGCTCCTCTGGAGGAGCATTTTCAAGCCGTGTGTGCTCAAGCCCCTTGCATCTGTTTCCACAGATATCATGGTGGAGTCACCTGATGAGCAGTCAATTGTGACATACGTGGCACAATTCCTGGAACACTTCCCGGAGCTGGAAGGGGTATGTGTGTACTGCTACATCACATCGGGTTTTTAACTTGCTTTGGCATATTTAATGAAGTCAGATATTGCTGTAGTTATCCTCTAGGGTTCTTTCTAAACTATTTAAAATAAACCACAAACTCAGTTTTAGTTTTTCACGTTTTTGTTAAATGCAGTCAATGAGCTTTCATTGGCGATTGCTGAAGTGCTGTAGGTAGAACTGTGCTTTTAAACATTTACATTCCATTATAACTTTCCGAGGTTAGGACTGGTTACACAGGGCTCTACTACTTTGCTGTATTAATCTCAGAATAAGGCTGAAATTTATCCCTTCATCTATGATGATTCGTTTTGAATTCATTTATCACGTTGAATTGCATTTTGGCTTCTATCTTCTCAAGTCTGAGGGCCAGAATCAATGTGAATTTAGCAGGTATCAGACACAAGCTACCAGAGGCTGAATCCTGTCAAAGCAGAAGTCAAAATATGTTGAAAAACTGTTCTGGAGGCTGCTCACACTTGCAGACAGACCTAGTTCAACGTAGTCTTTTTGGTTTGAAAGGGTTCCCAAGGGACTCAGCGTCCCTCAAGTATCTGGGTAAGTTTTAGTGCTAGAGAGCGTTCACACAGATGATGGTTGCTACATGAAAGGCACTTGCTCTTGTTTCTTGACTGAAGGTTCTAGTTGGTATGTGTTTTGTAGCTCCAATTGGTGGGCATTACTAAAGTCACGGGAATTAAAATTGTTATAATAATCTAATTACTATTATTAGATTAGATGAGCAATAAAATTTGTTGTAAGATTTGTGGGCATTTTAATGGACAAAAAGAAGCCTACTATTTTTTTTTAAAGTCAGTCATTAATTGGCTGTTCATGAGGTAATGGGGTGATGGGCTAGGAAGTAATTCTTCCTGTAGTGTTTGGGAAAAGTGAAATTGTTGACGGGGTCGCAATCACGACGAGATAAACTTATCTACGCAGTGTCAGATAAGCAGGCACTTCTTTATTCCCAGTGCTGGGGAGGCACAGAGGGTAGCTCCTCTAATTGTGCTCCAGCGCCCACACATTTTCACAGCCTATTTATACATTTTTAACAAAGCGAAATCATACGAGCATGCATGAGATGATCACCTTTTACTCTGCCCCTCACCCTGATTGGTTCCCCACTATCACCCCACACAAGACATTGGATTACCCCTATAGTTCTGACATAAGGAAAAAAAAGAAAAGTTACGGCCTATTCTTATGGTGGTCTGAGCACAGCTGTTATCCCTCATGCTGTTGTCTAATTCTTCTCTCGAGCATGGTACGTGCCTTCTCTAAGTGCTTATACAAATATATCTTGCAGTCTTTTTCTTAACTTTGCAGTTTAAACAAATACCTATTCTAACTACATAATCATCAACCCACTTTAACTACCTTGATGGGTCAAAGTGTTCTTTTAGCTCTGCTGCTGAAACAAATACCTACTTTAATCAGCCAATATTTTCTCATGACTATAACAAAATGGTATCTGAGGTATGATTTGTCTTCTAATGGTGTATCGTCACTTTATAGGAAGACTTTACAGATCCTGACAAGGAGCTTCCAATTGAGTCCACTTATGTCCGCATCAAAGACACACCTTCAGAAAAGGAAGGCAAAATCTTGATTTTAAGTGAAAGCAAAGAAAACATGTATACCGTTAATCACGAAAGGAGTCATCCTGCTCCTCCAAAGGTTCATATTCATGACACCCCTGAGAGAATCCCATCAGAAACCGTTCCGGAAAATTGTAATGGGAAATTGAGTCAAGTGTTCGGCGACTCACAGGAAATGTCTGCAGAGGAGCCTCAGAGGCCAACCTCACTGCACATCACAGGATCGGTCAGTTTTGAATCCAGTTCCTCTTGGGAGGTCCTCAGTGACAAATTCATGGCAGGTGAAGGGGGCATAGCTGATGATCTGCTGAAGCAGAATGATGACCTTTCTCCAGCTGCTCTGAGAGATCAGAAAAATTCTGTAGACTCTTTTGAAGACTACTCTGAAGAATTAACTAAAGAAACCTCTACTGAATATGACAACGAAACCAAGAGCCTTTCAGCCAATACTTCTTCTTTGAGTCCATTGTCCTGGACTTCAGGTATACTTACAGATGAATCTATAAATAGAGCAGAAGAGACCAAACCCCAGACTTCAATTCTTTTACCAGAAGATACCTCAAAACAAGAAGATACGCAAAAGTATGTTCTTAATCTTCTGAATGAGGAAATACTGAAAACTCCACAAAATGAACACACGAAGCAATCGCCTGTCTTTGAGACAATAGAAACCAACCACTGTTCACTGAATGGTTCTCATCTCAAAAGCCAAGAAGTATCCCCACAGCATGAAACATCTGATGACTCTCTCTCAGACGTACCCAAAAATACAGAGGACCTGGACAGCTGTGATGAAGTTGAGCCTTCAGCTGAAGTGCTACCCAGTTCTTCAAAAGTATCTGTGATACCCCATGATCTCTTTTATTATCCACATTATAATGTTCCCATATCAGCAGTTCTGAACGCTTACCTTGAGCCTTCTATTGAAGATTACGACACTGGAAGTGACAAAGCTTCTTCTGAAACTGCAACAGATGTTTTACATGAGAAGGGCTTACCAGAACAGAACTGCAAGGAAGATGCTCCAGAGCCAGACGTAGGGAATACCCCAAGTGTGCCTCCATCAGAAACAGATACTGAGAACGACAAGGAGGAAAAAGCAGATATTAACAGTGACATGAATTCTTCCGATGAAACAGATGTGCCATTAACAGCAGAGGAAGAGCTAGAAGTGGAAGAAGATGACAAAAAGGCCACCAACCATCAAGATCCCACTATTCCCCAACACCTTGAGGTATTGTATTTTTTTATTACCGGCATTTCTTTGTATTTATGTGGGGGATTAGCATCTGACCTCAATGGTTTTCATTTGCTTTCGTATCACAGTGCTGTGGAGAAATATGTAAAATGTACTTGGTTTCCTGTCCAGTAACACTGATTGCCACAGCCCTCTGCTGGAGTGACTGGAATTGCAGATCCCCAACAAGATCTGACGTTAAAAGAGAGAATAAGCCCTAATGCTAATAGTACTGCAAAAATGTGAATTTTAATTATGTTTTAAAGTAGTTTGGGGCTCCTGTATAATCCCTAGGCATAAAAGATTATAACAGAGGGTATTTTTAATAATTTGTAATGACATCAATGCTGATACAGAAAGGTATTTTTGACTGAATCCAAATAAGTTTGCCTCAAAAACTTAAACCAATTTGAGTAGGGTAAGTTATGCGGATAAAATGAGGGCTTGTCTACACTGGAGGAGGAGAAAGAGGGGGGATTTTTGGTAATTATTCTGTATATTTGATTTAGGCAATTTGCTGCTGCATCTCTTCTTACAGACACTGATTTTCAATTGTCTTACACATTTTCCAGTGCAGTAATTTTAGACAGTGTTTTTCAGGAATGAATGTCCATTTAATGGTACTGTACACATTGTGTAGACAAGTTGCTTGGACGTGTTTTGGTCCTGACTGGAGTAATGAAGTCAATTTGCTGTTAGCTTCAAAGACTAATTGGGGATAGATTAAAAAAAAAGTCTTAGTGGATTAGTTCAAAGAGCCATGTCACATCATATAAAAAGAACTGACAACTACTTGTAGGTATGCTGAAGTGCTGATACTCTATAGCTCAATGTATCCAAAATGATTTTCAAGAAATTAATTGCTTTTTATTCTCTTTAGTGAGACTTGCAATTTAGCATCTGAGTAGGCTGCTCCACTAAGATAGTTAGAAAGGTGGAGAATCAGCCTTGTTGTCTAATGCAAAATGTTTACGGATTTCAACAGGCCATAGACGACCATCCAGAGGATTTAGAGACAGCCATAAAGACACCAGAAAAAAGTAGCAATGGGGACGAAAAAGGGAAGCACATGATCGAAGAAGAAGACTTGCAGATCTCAGAAGCTGACAATCCTACTCTGTCTCAAGATATACTGGAAGAAATTGCTGATTATCAGGAATTTACCAGGTATTTTACATTAACTTGCTCTTAAATGCACCTACCTGGTATGAATGCCAGGTCTTCTGAAGTGTACCCTGACCATTAGGTGCTTTTTGTAGACTTCTTTTAGGAGAGATGTCTTGGGAAAATGAGATTAAAACCCCATTTTTCTGCTTAATGTTTTGGTGTCTGACATGAGAAGCTCTGAAAGTTGGCAATGTGGGGAAAGTCCATCAAGTCAGGTACAGTTATAAGCAAAATGGTGAAAGCGTGGTATGCGTTGCCCAGAGCTGTGTTTACTGTTCTCTATATAAAAAGGTATCTTTTTGACTGATGGAAATCACGTTATGTCAGAGGACTGTACTGTAATGGTCTGTATTTAAACTACCTGAGAATTTGCCCAGTTTTCAGAGCATTAATTGCTGTCTACGTTGGCTCCTAAGGAAACAGAGTGCTAAAGCCCATTGCGCGCCTCGTAGTCTAGCTTGGGCTCCAACTGACGAGATTGGAATGGTTCATTAACCTGCTGTCTTTTAGTCTGCCCTCTGTGGATGTTCTGTTTTTCCTACCTCTTACCAAATTCTCTCCTGTTTACAGGAAGAAAAATGACTTGGAAGCAAGCGAGACTCCAGCTCCAACTCCTGAGATTACGACGACTGTTGAGCAGCCAGAGCTATTTTACTTCATTATTTTGTCCTGGGTGCTGATCTACTGCCTTTTAGTCCTTCCACAGCTTTTTAGCAACAAAGTTTGATCTCTCTGAGCTGAGGTGTGGAAAAATAAAGGACGATAGCTGGATTGCTTGTGTATCTGCATATGAATATGTTCCTTCAGGTGAAGCACAAACAGAAAAGTAGGACCTGGTATTTGTGTTTATTATCAGGTTGTCCTCAATTCCTCTACTGCTGTGCTATGACAGTATGTCTAAGCACATTTTATATGATGATAATTGTGTAAATATATATAAAAATTACCTGATTTAGTAGAAGCGATTTTGTACATTTGTGCCTTGCTTTATAAGATGCTAAATAAAACCAGATAATTACCAGTAGGAAATACGAGCAATTCAGAGCTCTAGTCTTCAAAAATTATTCTTCTGGCTTCATTTACTTCTGTAGGGCCTGACAGCTGTGGAAGAGGGGTGGTGATGACCTGCCCATGAATCTGCCCATCTGCAAGGGCAAGGCTAGAAAAGCTGTTTCATGTTTTCCAGGGAATTCTTGGAGAGAGCTGGATACAGCTGGATGCCGAGCAATTTGTATTGACCTGGTATTGACTTTCTAGTGCAGCTGAAGAGGCTTCTGTGGCTTGTCCATAGACATGGTCAAGCCACCTCTGCATCTTGGAACTTTTGTCCACATCAGCGATCACTTCAGGATATTTGATTAAGGGCTTTTGCCAGAGGAGGACTTGTGCATTACAGGACAAAAGAGAAGGCTTCAAATTCAATTCAATAGCAGTAACTTTTCTGTGTGTGACTTTCAGTGAAGTCACTGGTTTTCATCAGCACATTTTCAGTTTCATAGAAACTTTATGAGGCTACGTCATGTTGCTGCTTTCATTTGAAAATTCTTAAGGTGCTTCATAAAACGAGGGGTTTCATCATTTACATTGAGTGAAAGTTACAAGGAGTGGCTACAAGTGTTACTTTTTTTTTAGCATAAGGTGTATATCTGCCCTGGCTTAGTTTTCAGCTGAACTTTAGTACTTTAGTACCTGGGATCAGGACACATCAGAATATATAGCAATTTATTTGCAGGTATTTAAAACTTGTTTGTAGCCATGTCATCTGTTGGGATAATCCTAACCATTGATCACACTTCATTCTTCTTTATAAGCTTTTTGTTTCCCTGGGACTTTTTTCCAAGCTGCAGTTAGAAGTCAATAGCAGCAGTGCACGGAAGGAGATCTTAAACATTGAAGGCAAAATTCTGAATCTCTTTCAGTCAATAGAAAGCTGAAATCTTTTCTATTTTGTCCTGTTACCATTGACTAGAGCTGGATTCACCCAATGAGCCTACAAATAAGATCCTTTGTGCTTGGTGAGGAACAGATCCAAACTTCTCAACTTAATTCAGTGTAAAAAAAAAGGTTTTCATCTTGCTGCTGAAAATCTTCAGCATCTTGAATCATCTCATTTTGTGATGCATGAACCTGTTTGTGCTTGTCGATGAAGACTGTGATACTTTCTTCCAAAAGAAAACCTATGTTAGAATTTTTGAAGGTGCTTTCTTGAAGTAGGCTAAAATATAACATTGAAAGGCTTGTGCTTTTTCTCTGAAAGAATAAGACTTAATACAAGAAACGTCATATCCTTATCCTGAACACCAGTGACTTCCAGGCTGGGGCACAGCAGCTATTTAAGAGCAGCAAGCAGCAATGTACATTAGTTTGATGCAAAAGTGTTGACAGCCTTTCATTATGTGCCACTCTTCAGAGGCTCCTTTGGTTTCTCTGAGCCTTTGTATCTTATTCACTGGTTCTTCCACCTTTCTTAGTCTTCAGCAGAGATTACCTGGAGTTGGATCACAGGCTCTTCAGAGAACTTTAAAACTACTGAAGTTCTGTCAAATAAAATAAGCTCCCTTCTTCTCTTCTTCCTCCCAAGAAAATTAATCAGAATGAGGAGGTCTTTGGATGTCTCATCTGAACAGCTGACATCCATCGGGAATGGAAAAGTGAGTGGGAATGTACTGATGCTGGCAATTTCATTACACAGTATTTTCTTCCAAGAAGGAGAAGACCCAGGGTTTTCTTTCTTACCTCCCACTGATGAAGAGTGATTGAAATGGTGAAATGAGCAGCTTAGATGTTAACCAGCACACAGCAATTGTCTTGATCATCTCGCCCCGTGTTTAAACTGATGTATGCTTTCCAGCCTGTCCTATTAAGAGATGGACATTGTTTCTTCCCTGCAAAATAGATGAAAATGTACTAAATTAGTCCACGATACCTGGTATTCAGTTGCTTTCCATATTTGGGTTGGTTGGTTGGTTCTTTGCTCTAACAGAAGCAGTTTGCCTTAGGTAAGAAGATCCAGGGTAAAGAGTTAAGGGTGATTACACTGGCATGGTCAAGCACGCATGAAGAGACTGAACTCTTTACGATTTTTGCCATTACTTGGAACTGCAAAAAATGGCATCTGCATAAGCAGCTTCCCCTGCTTAAATTGACTTGTAAGCCTGCATCTCTTCTTCCACAGTGCAAGATCCAATCCCTCAAGTGCCCTCTTCTGAAAACATGGCTTGTTGTTGGACTTTGTGTCCTATTCTTGAGGCAGCGGAGGTTTTAAAGGCTGGTGGGCAATCTTACTGCTTTTCCAACAGATACGTGCACTGTCTGAATAAGGAAGTTTTTCCTGAGTTTTTGCTTGGGTTTTTGAAAAACACTAAGCTTGAACTGACCACATTTGGTATTTTGATTTAGCAGCAGAATTCAGATACACGAGCGTATCTGATTAGATGGCCTTGATCTGTTAAGACCGTTTCCAAAACCCGTTGTGGTTGAGCAAATCTGTGGGTAGCGGAGGATTGTGAAGTGTAAGTGTCAGGACGTGCTTGAGGATCACGGGATAAAGGAAGTTTGGTGTTCACAGAAGCATCATTAACGACTGAGACAACTATAACAGGACTGTTCAGTGTTACTGCAGTCATGTAACTTAACTGCGAACTGTTTCATTGTGATTTTATAGAAAGTGCAAGGAAAGATACGCTACTAAAGACAGAACCCAGCTAAACATGGGGCAGATGTCTTAGAGCTGAAGAAATGAGTTAAACAGCCACATAATCCACAAACTGAATTGAATATAGCCTTTGCCAAATTGTAGGAAATGATCAGTGCAAAGATAGGGCAAGCACAGGTAAAAAAAAATGACAATCACTTTTCAATGCCATGAATATTTTTGATGGATTGAGCTCTAAAATGTATTTTTATTGAGTTTCTAGATTGTAATGAATGTGTCTACAGAATTTTATGCAAAGCTTGAGAGTTCAGCTGTTTTAAAATGATTTTTTTATATAGCAGTGATTATTTTATCTATATATTTAATAGAACTGTAAAACCATTTTAAGAGTACCTGTAAAATTCTGTGTATGTGATATGATTATTTATTAATTATGACTCATGAGAATGAACATTAAGCTATGCATTGGTTGTGTCATCCATTTTAAAACTGGAAACTGCAAACAGAAGAGTGTTTAAGGAACAGTAGACTTGAAAAACACGGGAAATGATTGAATACAACGGTGTGATTCTTAAAGCTGCATAGCAATATGTCATTTTGTGATGTTAAACTTTCAGCTAAAGTTGCAAAATATACTGAGTGATTAAGCTACTTTCTTCCATTAAAACTTCCTGAGGCTGAAATTTCTACATGTTGGTATTTGGTGTCTAAACACACTTAAATACTCTGCATCTTCTGGACACTGTCAGTTTACTTCAGCTCAGTATGACTTACTTTACCCAAGTAGTGCTCCATTGAGTTTGTGGGGGTACCATGTAATACCCAGTGGGGTTTTTTTAGGGTTTTCTGCACCAATCCCTATAGAATCAGCACTTCAGAAGAGTAATTTGGCCAGTGTATGTGCTACTATATTAAGCCATCTAACAAGACAATAGTTATAATAGTGCATTATCACGTATGCTAGCTTTAAGTACTTGGAGTCCCTTCTTGCCAAGCGCAAATTTGAATGCATCCAGTGATGTGTTCAGTTCCTCTGCTTCTGTGGAAGTCAATGCAACCCATCTGTGTGCTAAGCACACACTACAGGATCTGGCCCTGAGGGGACTTAAATCCACACTAATCACGTAGGCCAGGAAGGAGCTGAAGCCTATGCATTGCCCTTAGCGCTGGATCCCCTCAAATCCAATGCACACAAACAGCACCACCAACCAGTTAACATAATGCTATGTATAGCATTTATTTGCCTCAATTCTGCAGGATCAATCCTCTCTTTCTTTTAGGACGTGAACATCTTCCATTTTTGATTAAGAGAACAGCAGCAGGGAGTGAATGGCTGGAAGATGAGGGTGAGGTTAGAGGCTGGAATGCGGCCGTGAAAGTTCCCAAATGCTACAGCTGAAAGCTCTTACCCTGAAAAAAGGTTGCCCACTGTTTTCCATTGAGCAACCATAGGGAGCGGATTCCACTTCCACAGGTAGTGGATCTGAATGGAGGTAAAAAACCCCTAAGGTTTTGTATTTCCACATTGTACAGTTTTTTGTCAGGTAAATAACATTAACTTCTTACCCTTGGCATACCACAGATAACACTCATTTACAGCTGCCCAACTTAGCATTGGTCACGGTCCAGGTTTGTATCTAGACAGGACTTGCAGTATGGCTTGTCCCACCCATGCCACCCCAAGACTGTGAGGACGGGAGGATGGGAGGTATAGGCACATTAAATGATATGGAAAAGTCATATTCTGAACGGGATAGCTTGCTTACTCTGTCCATTGCTTGACAGAACTCCAGAGCTCACAAAGGGTGAAAAATTAACCCTTTTGTCCTAAAGTGCCATGTCCATTTCAGGGTTATCTTAACTTAAATTGTGGAACATCCAAGTGTTTCTTTCCTCCTTTAAATGTGACGTGGAAAACTTACTTCCACCTCAGTGGCTCTTCTGACGACTCCTTTCCAGGCAGCTGCCACTGCTGATACTGAACAACACAAACTGTGTTGAGGGGAATGTCTATGTCTCCAGAACATAAAATTGACCCCTGGGGGATTAATATACTTCTTTCTTCATGAAAA